TTATTATGATTTAATACGTATAATATTACAGGTACTTACGAGAAGAATGTCTTAGTTTTAACTATTGTGTTTTTGGCGATTCTCACATATATTATAGACTCTCAAATATCAGCTGGTCTGCAGTGTTGATGAAAACAGAGGATAAATTTACGTCCACACCCTCCTCACCCCTTAGCACTAACAACAAGATAATACTGGTTCATTATATCTTAGTCCGTTAATTTTCCCGATTGTATATTATATAAATAAATATTATAATGTAATAGGTAAGTACCTATTTGAATTATGACTTATAGGTACCAATCAGATTCGACATGATTTCGTTATTCACACAATATATGGTCATGGATTCGCGGTCATAATTTTTTGCGTTTCCGACGGCAGTCAGTCAGTCATGTGCTTACAAAAAAAAATTGGCCACTGAACGTAGACGTTTATTAAAATTTATCTATTTTGAACGGCATACGTAATAATGTTCAATTTGAACAGTTCAAAGAATATTTATAAACAAAATATGAACATAAAATACAAAAAAAAAAACATTGGTAATATTTGTATTACTTTTATTTTATACAATTAAGCCAACTGGCTTTTACAATGGTAATGAGTACTTATAACATAATAGAAATGATATTACATTTTATTATATAGAGGGAGATATCGTGGATTGGGATTTAAAAAACGAAGAAAATTAATCAGAGAAAAATACAACCAATTCAGATGCATTTTTAGAAGAGCTATCCCGGTAATTAACTGAGGGAGATCAAATAGGAGTCTGTAACTTACATCAATATGGGGATATATCGTGGATTGGGATTTAAAAACCGAAGAAAATTAATCGGTGAAAAATGCAACCAATTCAGATGCATTTTTAGAAGATCTATCCCGGTAATTAACTGAGGGAGATCAAATAGGAGTCTGTAACTTACATCAATAGAGGGAGATGTCGTGGATTGGGATTTAAAAACCGAAGAAAATTAATCGGGGAAAAATGCAACCAATTCAGATGCATTTTTAGGAGATCTATCCCGGTAATTAACTGAGGGAGATCAAAGAGGAGTCTGTAACTTACATTAATAGAGGGATACATCGTTGATTGGGATTTAAAAACCGAAGAAAATTAATCGGAGAAAAATTCAAAAAATTCAGATGCATTTTTAAGGGGATCTATCCCGGTAATTAACAGAGGGAGATCAAAGAGGAGTCAGTAACTTACATCAATAGAGGGATACATCGTTGATTGGGATTTAAAAACCGAAGAAAATTAATCGGAGAAAAATTCAACCAATTCAGATGCATTTTTAGGAGATCTATCCCGGTAATTAACTGAGGGAGATCAAAGAGGAGTCTGTAACTTACATCAATAGAGGGATACATCGTTGATTGGGAATTAAAAACCGAAGAAAATTAATCGGAGAAAAATACAACCAATTCAGATGCATTTTTAGAAGATCTACCCTAGTAATTAACTGAGGGAGGAATCAAGGGGCTTGAGCTTTCAGAAATATTTCTAAAATGTACTAGGGGAACTAGAGGGCTCACGTTCAGTGTTAGAGATGTGGAAAGAGTAGTTAAGCTTGCATATACGTCTGCATTTAGGTCTAAGTTTGGAGAAAATATTGTAATCTAATCGTTAATTTGTTTTTTTGAAGTTATGGTTTAAGGTTAAGTTAAGGTTTTTTTGGTGTCTAAGAGATTTCTAAGATCGTTGGACATCTAATAAGGAAAATTACTATTAAATAAGGAATAGAGTGGAACAAATCTGTCTATGCTAAACAAAAGAACATCGCTGAAAACTACGGCAGCATCATTAACATTGTATCAAAAGAAATTCTCTGAACAGTTGAATGAATTAAAGAATGAGTTAATATAACAGATGAGTTATTCACAAGTTTAGGGAGAGGGGTAGGAATACTGAGGGACATAATAAGAAAAGGGTGATATGAGGCCTCTTTTAATAAAGGGAAACATGCTCGGCTTACGGTGAGGTTATTATTAATAGCTAAAACTAAGTCAAGTATACTTCCAAATGTGTTGGAAACAGTGTTACATTGATAACCATTGCAACAAATTGCAATTGATTCGTGAGCAAAATCAGAAAATAAGTTGCTCAACAACATTGACATGGGTCTTATATAGATACAATAGAATGTTAGGGGAAAGGTAAATGGCACTAAAAACTGTTTTTATAGACAATAAGGAGGCAAGGATAATGAGCTCCTCTAAATTAGGAGGATTAGTTGATATCATATATAGAGCCCTGTAAGAGGATTTAACTGCCATAAGAAAGCCACCACCTGCACAAGAGCAGGAATTATTATTATTTATATCGAGTCTCAAAACTTGGTGATTTGTAAGACCAAGTTCGGATATGTGAATATCGGAAGAGAGCCAAGTTTCAGACAAAATAGGGGCCGAAAATAGGTAGGTTAGCTCTGAAAAATCGAATTTAGTTCTGAGGCCACGAACGTTCTGGTAAAACACATTAAGTCTGGACGTACATTTAAGGAGTGAATTAAAACAAATTACATGATCAAAAAAATTATTTACAGTGATAGTGGCAGTAGAATATTCACACAGATGACATATGCTGGTGAAGTGTGAAAAGAAATCCTTTGCTACGAGAAAGTTGATTGAAGATGGAGGCGGCATCGGCTGGGAAATTCATTTTTTGAAGATGAGGTGTTTCCTTCAATTTTGTGTTGGCATCTGTCATTGGTAACCAAAGGTAACAGTAGGTTTTCCAACTCTAAAATAATACAACAGTAAATATCTTTACATTATATTATAATCAGAACAGGTATAGTAAAATATATAATAATATATAATAGATAATACAAATATAACAATACCGCTATAATAAAGGTATATTGTGTATATGAACGATACAATCAATGAAAAAATAAGAATAATTAATCAGTAGGTGCATAAATAAATTGTACTACATCAAATAAAATGTATGGCTTATGCATCATAATATAAAAAAGGCGAAATGATTTATAGTTTCTTGAATGTATAAATACAAAAAAACGAAATAGGTTAATATGATATGAACGCGTTAGACAATATAAAAAACTAGCCGATCCCGTGCACTTCGTTTCCGTTAAATGTATCAAATCTATATGACTCAAACTTTGTTCATTTAATATTCGGTGTATGGTGTTCAAAATTTATCTTAACTTTTCCGTTGCCCGGAAAAAAAATTCTGATTCGCAGAAGTACACTATCAGATAGGCAATCTACCTGCTGTAGATGGCGGACCCCCTGCTGTATGTACGGACGTGTATGATTTAAACTAAAGTATCAAAGTTGTACAAAGTTTATCGTTTTTACTCAATTCCACCTACGGTAGATTAATATAATCAATTTATACAAAATCCTAACCTAACCGTACTAAAATCCGATGAATAACAAAAAAAAAAACAAATTGAACCCTTTGTAAATTAACTTGTTTTCTTCCCAGAGGTCTAATCTACCCACAGACATTAATTTATATTTATTTATATATTTAACTATATAAATACATAGACTATAACTATAAAGACTAAACTCTGGAACTACTTATCAGATCTTCTTGTATATATTATATGTACATTGACAAAAGATAATAATACAAATCAAAAAAACACGATTAACCAATACCAACCAATATATTATACACCGGTGGATTTTCCTAAAATGTTTTTTCATATAAACCTTCCCCGTGAAATACTCTTTTGTTTAAAAAAAAAAATAAGAAGATCTGATAAGTAGTTCCAGAGTTTAGCCCGTACAGAAATTTTCATTTCACATTTTTATAGTTAGATATTATATTATAATTTATATTTAAATAGTAAAACAAATAGTTTTTTTTTTTTAGTTATTATATATAGCTTAAAAATCCCATCATTGCTTATAGACTCATAATAATAATACTGATTAAATAATTGATAACAAATCGTCGATGTATATAATAAATGGTTTGTTTGTTCTCGTGGCAACGAATCAAAACGGTTCACTATAATTCTGGATTGAAATTTCTATCATTTTATACGACGTCACTCATGGCAACCGTTTATAAACAAAAATATTTCCATCTGAAATCTCAAAATTCCCGTATGAGCACCTCCCGAGGTTAAAAGAATGAAATATAATATTAACTAGCTGATCCCGTGCACTTCGTTTCCCGTTAAATGTACCAACTCTATATGACTCAAACATATGATGTTCTAGATTTATCTTAACTTTTCTATTGCCCGGAATAAAAATTCTGAATTGCAGCAGTACATTATCAGATAGGTAATTTACCTGTGGTAATGATTGTGTATGATTTAACTCAAAAAGTACCAAAGTTATACCAAGTTTGACGTTTTTACTTAATTCCACCTACCTATAAATCCTAACCTAACATAACCGTACTAAAATCCGATGAATAAAAAAAACCAAATTTAACCCTTTTTAACTTAGCGTATCTTCTTCCCATAGGTCTAATCTACACACCGTCATTCATTTATATATATATAGATATATTTACAAAAAATAATAATACAAATCAACAAACATGCCCGATTAACCAATAGCAACCAATATAATATAATACACCATAGAGTAAATAAAGACAACGGTATCGAGTTCAAATCCCAGACATCAATAAATAGTTTTTGCAGTTTTTCTAATTATTCGGTTGACTTTTTAAAAATTTTTTTTCGTAAAAACCTTCACCTGGCAATTACGAACATCTTAAAAAAAATTTGAGCAAAATCGGCCCAGCCGTTCTCAACTGATGCAATTTCGAATTTTTTGTCTCCATTTTTATATATATAGATAATTTGAAAACAGTTAATGAAAATGACTGTAGTTCGTAGTAGTAATGTTTTACGTTTTAAAATATATGTAAAATTATGCTCAAAAATATTAATTAAAAAATCCAGAAAAAGTTTCTGAGTCCTAACCAAAAAAGTCAAGTAATATACGTACATAAATGTGTAATATGTGAAAGTATAGATACCAATAATGATGCGTCAAAGCTTTGTACTCTGCTTACGGCCGACACCACAGCAGAACATCTTTCTGCCGGCATTGAGGAGTCGCCTTCCTAAGGACGACAGGAACGATCTGCGTTTAGGCATGGCTTCAATCGTTTCATCTGCAGCAGCCACTATCTCGTCGACATTTTCGTGGTCTGACGGTGGCTTCAAGTTCCCGTCTCCTGCAGATGTCCACAATGCCTCGTCGTATACCTCCCAAGTTTCCTCTCCGTCTGATTTTATTTCTCGTTCCGGTACAGCCCTTCGCTCGACAGACACCGGCCCCAACTCCTCGTCCGACAGCCACGATCGGTCGACGTCCGATGACCAACTTTGGTCGTCTTCGGGCGGACACGGCAGGACGGGTTGGTCCGGGAGCGGCAGCCACTGCTTGTAGTCCGTCCGACTAAATTCGTGCAAATGGATGACTGAACCGTCCGGCTGTTCTGCTTTCAGCGTACTAATCTTCCACACATCCAGGAAAATAGTGCTTCGGTGGAAGCGCCGAGTGCTCGACGGCACTATTTCCCTCGCTGCATCGAACTGGGCGGCGTTAGTGGGCAAACGCACTTCCGGTGACCGGGATTTCCGTTGACAGGAGTCATCGATGCAGCCGTCGTACGACGAATCGTCGTCCGAGTCTAGCGATTCAGTCGATGACCAAAAGTCGCTAATCGGCTGCTCCTGCATTAAATCGACATCGTTTCCGGAGTTTATCTCGACTGTCTCTACATTATCTTCAGTGGCAGGGTCCTGGATGGCCAACACTTCTCCTCGGGTGTCCTCGGGTCTGACTAATATCGATAGATCCGGCGAGGCACCCTCAGTCACCGTCACCTGGTTGTCCACATCTGGCGAAGTGCCTATATTCTTCGAGTTATCGCACTTCATTTCAGTTTGATCGTATTCTTTATTTTGTCGTATTTTGCTTTAATTATTTTCAACTGTGTGCAGCGGTACGTAAGTTGAGCGTAAATAACTTTTTTTGTATAAATAATAAAGCGCATTAATAATAATAAAAATAACACTCATCTCCTGGGAAACGAAGTAAACGAATATGAGATTTGTCGACGGCCCGTTTTATTTCCAAAGAGAATATAATATAAACACATATCATACCACAGTGTAATTGGCTCTATTTCCATAATGTTTACATTTTTTTATTTTAATAATACAATTAACGGGTCCTTAACGTATTTTATGATAAACGTTAATTCAAATAATTGAATTATCTTTAGATTATTGTTTTCAATTCCTACGGCTTCCTGGTATCAAAAAACTAATACGTAGTGGTAAGAATGGTAAGATGGAATTAAATTTTAAATCCACCTTCTTATTGGTACTGCTTCTGTTTGGAATTTTTAAGTATAAAACAATAACTGGCTTTTTTGCTTTTTTATTTATTAAAAGATATATCAATCTTATGTCGGTCAGACGACCCCGATAGGATCATACCTACACTGTTTTTGTTTTTCTTTAGTACGACAAGGTTTAGTCAATATAATTTCATTTTTCGTCCCAATCACCAGTCATTCGTTTTTCAAAATTTGAAAGAACATAATATATCATTACGGCAGTATTCAATGTAATAATGACTACCTACAATTTCTAAATAATAATAGAGAAATAAAAAAAATGGCATTCGCATATTTTGGTGTAAGTAAAATGCATATTTTACATTTTTTTTTATTGCACACAAATACTAGCCCTATGCATAATCATTAATCAGTAACCGATCGGTCGATGGGTCGACTGATAATAATAATATTTACGGCGTTAGTTTCGGGCCATCATGACACAAATACAGTATTGTAAAACTACCCGAAATCGCTGTTAAACGTTAACAATAATAGCAACTCGTGTTATTTGATTGTATCTGAACTCGGCAGGAGATTGAGAATTGGAGATTGTAAAGTGTGTATAATAAAATATTATATTAATACATTATTTATATAACTGGTACTGGAAAAGGTTGATTTACTGAGCATGCTCACCCCAGTTTTTTTTTGTTTCAATAACAATTGAATAAAATGTCAGTATTACAGGCGCACTTACATAAGACTAGTTATAGGTAGTATATTATTGTACATTTTCGAATTCTTTGTAGACTTTTTATGCCGTTCAAAAAGTATCCTGTTTCGATACGAACTAATTTTTTTTTTATCGATGTGAAGTGAGAACTATTCATTTTTATTTTTTACCGTTAATTTTTAATCAGACGATTTTTTTTTGTCAAAACGTCGACGCGATTTGAATCTAGTTTCTGAGTATTAAACCTAACCAACACGGGTATAATAGCTACTAGAATTATAATGGTTTTAAATAAAATAGAAAATAGATGCTTAATATTTAGTATGGCATCTTATACTTATTAAAATTAAGGGCTCGGAACTTTACGAATTTGCTTATTTTTTAGGAATCTGCATAATACAAATTTGTTTCATAGTATAATAGAAATAGTATACTATACATACAATCTAAATACAAAAATGTATATAAATACTTTTGCTCGTTTGACTAAGTTCACATGAATTTGCATATTTAAAGATTTCAAGTATATTAATGCAGATATTATCATGTTAGTAAATCGTTGATTTAAAAAAACTAAAAATAAAGAGAAACCACACATCGCCATATTATCGTCTGTTTCGAATTGTACTATACTGTGAATTGATTTGCAATTATTTATCGATCAGCCAAAAACAATCAAATAATTCATATTATTCAGATAAATATATAACGACATGATTTGATATTTGCTGAATTTGATACATTAAAATTTTTTTATGTTTGGGAATGTAAATATACAAAAAATGTTTCACAATGTACAAACTAAAAATAAATAATTATACTTTATAGGTGTATTTCAAAATGTATAACAAATTAAAAAATAATTATTAATTTTTAAGTTTATTAAAATATATAAATACATGTTTAAAAAAAAAAACTGCATATTGTACTGCATACGATTGTATATTTAAGCTTTTTTTTTTGTGCATATGTACCTATGCACATATTTCATTATTCTTTACTTTTTTAGTAATAATAAGACTCTGGCATTTTTTATAAATTCTAAAATTTGAATAAAATGTTTTATAATACTATAATTTTCAAGCCACCATTGCCCCACTATTCACCTATACGTTTTAATACACCTTTTAATCATAGACTATATTGTCTTAGCTTAGTACTTTAATTTTGAAGTTTGATAACAAAACAACTTTTGAAATCTTGTTAATGAATAATAATTTACAATAAAAATAAATGGTGGTTTTCATTTGAAAAATTTAAGTTTGCCATAGTGCACTCGACACTCCAAGCAAACCATAATTTGAGTAAAAATACGCATTTAAAATAAGTATTTGAGAATATAATATTATGATCTTTAAAATAATTAAACTAAAAATCAGAATTAGAATAAATTTAGCATTAATGGTTAAATGGGTGATGAATATAGCTATAAATATAGCTCACACGTATATTTCCGGTCAGTGGCGTATCCTGGGGGGGAGTTATTGTTATATATTGTACTAACCCCCCTCTTCAAAAATGAATAAGTAATAACAATTTTTTTATAAATAAATCTATTTCAGATAAAATTTGTCAACAATTAATTTTCAACTCCCCCCCCCCATGAAAAAAAATTATTATTATTATACGCCACTGGTCACATTATATCTGCATAATGATAATCGCGCAATATGCACGATAATGGTGGGAAAATCCCTAAGGCATATCATACTATATAATATTATTATTGGTATCTGCCCAGATGACCTACTATCATGTAGGTACTCAAATATTATTATCTTGAAAACTCGTATAATATGTTATAGTGTACCTACAACTTATATTTTAAGATGCGCAAGCATACTATCATTGCGAAGCACAAACGTTAGGATAATAACATATCGTCTGAAATCAGGTAGGTCGTAAGTATTATAGGTATATAGTTATTACGAGTTACGACATCTCGTATACAAGTTTGCAGGTTATTAGGTTAGGTTAGCAGGTACACGATGTACATTTGTATAGAGTTATGAGTATTAAAGTTCGTTTTTTTTTTCATCACCTGCACACTTCTGAATAGGTACCTAATAATAACATGACAAATTGTACACACAGACCACGTTAATTCGAATAATGATATATTATTATCAGTGCCGGATTTAGCGGGGGTGCAGGGGGTGCATTGCACCGGGGCCTCAAGACCAAGGTTGTATTAGGGGCCTAAGGTTAAAGTCCTAAATTGTCTAACTTTCTATAACTTTTTATTATAAAATGAACAAATTTTATTATTTTAAGATGTTACTGATAAATGACAACCATTTATTTTGGACGGTTTGAATTTTAGATAAGTAATACTATTTATCATTGTTATTGTTTGTTTTACATATTTATTTATATACACATTAATTATATTATATAGTACTTATGCATCGTATACTATTTTCGTATAATCGTACTATTATTCAATCTCAGAGGCTCGTGAACTCGCGCTAGTGCAGTATCTTGCTGGAAAAACTAATAATGTAACCGTGGTTATATGTATTTATTGTTTAATATAGGTATGTAAATGGATTATAATTTACGGACATGCCTTTGCCTTGATGCAGTGTTATTGGTTTCAGATATGTTATTTTGTACTTTTGTCAGTTTTATTTTTGCGTACCTACTCTATTATATTAATTTTTCATTTGATTATTAAAAATAAAAATTAACTACACTATCTTTTATTGACTTTTGAAAAAAAAATATGTCTAACAGACAATTTGAAAGTGTTGCCTCTAAAAGACGGAGAAAAATGTTCAAAACAATGAATTAAAAAAATATAAAGGATTGATGAATAATTTTGTATTCAATTCAGGTAACTGAGGTACCTGATTCATATTTGGGTCCTTTCATTTTAGGACAATAGAGAGAATATACAGCCAATATCATATTAATGATATTTATTTTTAATTTATATTATACTAGCATAGAAGCATACATTGATACATTAAAGATTAATACATCATAATATCTAAGCGTGGTATAATAGATATGAGAACAGTGAGTGAATGTATAATTTCATAATTTACCTATTAAATTATGGAATTTAAATGTTGTGTTTTTTAGTTTGTTTAATATATCAATACGACAAAACGTATCAAATAAATAGATAAGTGTAAAGTCGAGAAAATTTTTTTTTAAGGGGCCTCCATTGGTAGTTGCACCCCGGCCCCCTGAGACTTAGATCCGGCACTGATTATTATACGTACATATATAGGAGTACATAATATACGATACGAGTTTGTAAATAGTAAACGTACCAATATCATTATAATGGTTATTATTATTGTCAACCGCGTCGTGAAAATGTTATCAAACACATTATTATTATATATTTACCATCATCAACATATATATATATATATCAATCAACGTCACGAATAGAAAGAGCAGTGGAAACACTTAGCTTCGGGTGATATGTGCACTGTGCGGAAAAAAATTGCGTTGATTTCAGAAGCCATTATTATGTGTTATATTCGATTAAGTGTGATGTGTATATTTTATTCTGTTTGTGTGTATAATACTATATGCTTGTGCGTCTTCTTCAATCGACAGTCATATTATACCGGGTGAGCCATTTAACGTATAAGACAATCGTTATTTACATTATTTTAAGTTGTAAAAAACAACATTTTTATAAAAATAAATTATATTTTTTACTAGGACAACCCCTCTCAGTCGTCTCAAACGTAAATGGCCAAGTGATCTATTAATATAATATTTAGTTTATTTTACCTACTTTATATAGTTAACTAGTTAAGTGTAGCAAATTAACCCCCTAGGTATATAAATTAGCAGTTGTGTCGATGTTATACTCTGATGCTGTCACGTCTAGTATA